TAATTTTATAACATTTACACTATGACTGATAAAAGTGTTTTATGGTACAGTATTTTGATGATGATGATGATAAAGTTTTTACTGAGAATTTACTCTGTGATGGGACTGCTTTCAAAATTTTACATGTTTTTAATTTTCATAAAAACTCTACAAAATAGGTTATCCTTATTTATAAATTGGACAAGTAAGGTACAGAGGTAAGATAATTTACCCAAAGTCACACAGCTAGTAAATGGCAGAGTCCAAATTCAAACCCTAGCATTCTGGTTTATCATTTCTTCCTTTAAATTTATGAATAAACTCTTATTTTAAAAAGTCAATTAACTTTCACATCTCATAGATTTTAGAGAACATGAGAAGATTCCAAGTTCTATTGTTCAAGGATAAAAAGATAGAGAGATGATTCAGGGGACTTTGGTTAGCTTTACTTCATAATCTTTCCAGTAGACAGGAGTGGCCTTAAGCTTCCTCACCAGTAACTAAAATAGGAGCCACACAGAGCACTCAGATATATTGCCTTCTGTGCAATAGGATCTCATTGCTGCAACCAGTGAGGATCATATCAGCAGAGATATTTTCACTGATACATACAGCAGGGAGATTCTGTTATGCAGACATTTTTCCTGATTTTCTCTTTCCATCTCCAGGGTCCATCTAGTCTCTAGGGACTGGCACGTCTCCCTTTAGTTCCTTTAGTTTCTTTGTGTCTATGAAAAGACAGACTAGATCTCATCTACAGAAACTGTACTGTTAATAGTGCTATGCTCTGTTGCACATGAGGTACATATGGGAGGCACCATCATATGAAGCCTGAGGGACAAAAGATTTGGGTGGATGTATTGTTATTGAAACGTTATTGGAAGTGATGTCATGAAGAAGATAAATTAGACTGGTGACAGCCCCCAAAGAAGCAGAATAAGAATGTTGAGTAGAGGCCACTGGGAGATATTTTGAATCAATATAAGAAATCACTTTTCAAAAGAGGTTTTTAACGATGGTATGGATTTGTTTGAGAGGTAGTGGTTCCCCTACCACTAAAAGTATCAAACATAGGTTAGACAAACACGCAGGTGAAATGTCATAAAGAATATATTAACATTGGCTACATAGTCACACTAGACGACTTTGAAGTGTTTTGCAACTCTGAGAGGCTGTGATTCTAGCTCTTCTCAGAAGGTTGGGTTTCTCTATTCTTTGCTATACCTTAGGCCAATTTTTGGCTTGTGTTAAGTCTTAGTTTTCACTTTTTCCAGCCTTCAAGACTGATTTCTCTTTTAATTTTTATTCTTTAATCCTCAAAATTGAGTCATTTTTCCTAAAGGGGACAGAGTCCTGTGTTATCCCTATTCAGTAACCCTTTAATAATACAGTATACAAAAATAAATAAATAGTCATATAGGAAAATGGTGTTTTGTACAAGTTAAGTACTCCATAACTGTATGCATGTGAGATATAGATTAAATGTATACCAATACAGAGAGTTCAGTCATAGAAATAATAAACCATAATTTATTGGGATTTCAGAGTTTGTGTTGATGGAAAATTTGAAAAAATAAATTACTTAAGATAATCTGAGCTAAATAAGTTCTTGAAGAACTAGGGGAAAAATATAGAATTGGACCTATTAATAAAAGGGTGAAGACATTTAGGGAGGATGTCTAGGAAATATCTTTATAGCTAAATATGTTTTCACTATATATGTAATTCATCTAGGAATGCCTTAACTTCCTTACATCTGAACACTTGTTTAAAGAACACAAACAAACTAAGCTTTGTTGGATTGCTGACAGAAAAACACTGATTTGAAGGTACACAAAATGCTAAGTAATTGGGTTACATAGCTGTTAGTAACACATATAATCAGGTTAGTATAAATCTAAGTGAAGCAAGCAAAGATTATACAAAGCTCTCCTACTAAGATTATACTTGATAACAAGACTTTAATTTAAATTTTATAAACTTAGGAGCTTCTAATTAATTATAAATAAAATAATAAGCAAACAACAGCCTATCCAAAAAAGGCAAAATATAACACCAGGGCCACCCGGTAATTCCTGGAGGTCCCCATGGGGCAGGAGTGGGTAGACCCAACTCCACAAAAAAAGTCAGGACTGAGGGAAGAAGTATCTTGAGGTCCTCATAAGAATCCTCATAAATGTTTCTCTCAGTTGTCAGGATACCACTAGGACTTAGTAGCTAAGCCCTAGAGTCACTCTGCATCTAAATATATTTCTTATTATGACTCAGTTGCA